GCCACAGCTGGGAGGACAGGAAGGCGCCCCCCGCGTCCACGCGCACCGGGTGCACGATGTCTCGCGCCTCCTCCCGGCCTGTGGAACCTGCGGGGGGGAAAAAACCATGCGATCAGGGACCAGAGGGTGGGATTCGCCTCCCCACTGTGTCTCCCGCTACCAGCTCTGTCCCTCCAGCTGGAGGTATCTTGGTCACAGGTCTCCTGCTCCCACGGCTGCCCATCTGGGGTCTCCAGAGCCCCTCACACCCATCAAATCCTGGCCTTCCGCTGTTCAAAGCGCCCCTGTGCCCCAGCCCGGCGGCGTGGCTCCGTGGTTGAGCAGCGACCTGTGAACCAGGAGGTCACCGTTCGATTCCCGGTCAGGGCACAGGCCCGGGTTGCGGGCTCCATCCCCAGTGTGGGGCGTGCAGGAGGCGGCCGATCCATGAGTCTCTCTCATCACTGATGTTTCTCTCTCCCTTCCTTTCGGAAATCAATAAAAAAAATATATTAAAAAACAGAACAAAAAACCTTATGCTCTCATCTCACTCCGGCCCAACCACCTGCCAGACCTCGAGCCCAGTGCCCTGGACACCAGGGGAGTGTCTCCTGCTGAGAAGGCCCTGCCCCCTGCATTGCCCACCAGGGCCAAGCCTTTGGGTATACACACACACACACACACACACACACACACACACACACGAATGGGTAATATGCTAATTAGACCAGACATCTTCCGGACGCCCTTCTGGACAAAGCCACAGTGGCGGGGGCTGAGGCAGAGGCGGTTAGGGGCGATCAAGCTGGTAGGGGAGCAGTTAGGAGACGATCAAGCCAGCAGAGGAGCAGTTAGGGGGCGATCAGGCTGGCAGGCAGTGGTGGTTAGGGGCGATCAGGCAGGCAGGCAGGTGAGCGGTTAGGAGCCAGCGGGCCCGGATTGCGAGACGGATGTTCAACTGCCGGTTTAGGCTCGATACCAGTAGTCAGACATCTCCCGAGGGGTCCTGGATTGGAGAGCGTGCAGGCCGGGCTGAGGGACCCCCCCCCATGCATGAATTTCATGCACCGGACCTCTAGTATATACTAATACATATATATATTTCATTGATTTCAGAGAGGAAGGGAGAGGGAGAGAGAGAAACATCAATGATGAGAATCACTGATCAGATGCCTCTTGCATGCCCCCTACTGGGGATCAAGCCCGCCACCCGGGCCTGTGCCCTGACCGGGAACCGAACCTTGACCTCCTGGTTCACAGGTCGATGCTCAACCACTGAGCCACGCTAGCCCGGCTGGGCCCTTGGGCTATATTTTTTCAAGGAAATGCAGGAGCCGGGCTGCCCGGGGTGCCTTGCCTGTGTGCGGCTCTGGCCATATCTCCCCCATCTCTGATTTTCAGGAGGTCAGCGGGACCAGGGCTTTCCACACGTCTCCGATAAGAACTTCTCCTTGCCGAAACCGGTTTGGCTCAGTGGATAGAGCGTCGGCCTTCGGACTGAAAGGTCCCAGGTTCGATTCCGGTCAAGGGCATGTACCTGGGTTGCGGGCACATCCCCAGTAGGGGGTGTGCAGGAGGCAGCTGATCGATGTTTCTCTCTCATCGATGTTTCTAACTCTCTCTCTCCCTTCCTCTCTGTAAAAAATCAATAAAATATATTAAAAAAAAAAAAAAAAGAACTTCTCCTTAAAAGCACATTCCCGTCCCCGGTCCCGGAGGCACTGAATCAGCACCTCCAGGAAACAGGACCAGGAAGCCCTGGGTTTGACCTGGAGCCTCGGGGGAGTAGGGAAATTCCGCATCCATCCGGCGACCCTTCGGCAACACCTGGAGGGCTGTGCGTGGCTGCCGGGCATTCAGCCGGAACCCAGAGGGCTGGCCCTGCACATCCGGGGCCTGGGGGTCTAAACCTTCAGGGAATTCTTTTTTTTTCTTTCTTTCTTAAGTGTTCTTTTGTTTGTTTGTTTTTTAATCATCACCCGAGGATATGCTCAGAGAGAGGAAGGGAGAGAGGCGGAGGGATGAGCTAAAAACCTAGGCATGTGGCCTGGCTGGTGTGCGTGGCTCAGGGCACGGTTCGATTCCCGGTCAAGGACACAGGCCCGGGTTGCGGGCTCCATCCCCAGTAGGGGGCGTGCAGGAGGCAGCCGATCTGTGATTGTCTGTCATCATTGATGTTTCTCTCTCTCTCTTTCTCCCTTCCTCTCTGAAATCAAAGACAATATATTAATCCTATATAATAAAAGCCTAATATCTTAATATGCAAATCGACCGAACTGCAGAACGACCGGCTGCTATGATGCTCACTGACCACCAGGGGGCAGACGCTCAGTGCAGGAGCTGCCCCCAGACCGCAGGCCCCAGGCCAGCCAAGGCGGGTGCCAGTGGCCCTCCCCCCCATCACCCCCATCACCTCTGCGGGAGGCGACTGGCAGCAGTGGCGGGGGGCAGGGCCAGCGAGCAGGAGGCCCCAGGCCGGCCAAGGCGGGGGCCAGCAGGGCCCCC